TCTCTCTCTCTCTCTCTCTCTCTCACACACACACACACACACACACACGCACACACACACACTTCACCAAGAATGTGTTCCTGGCCACAACTTTTCTAATTTTGCACTGCAAGGATCAAACGCCTTCTTTGCTTGGTTGCCCTCTTGCTTAGAAACTCTAAACATTTCCACATGGTTCGAGTGCTTCATGCGCACATGCATGCGCACACACACATATAGAAGTCTCCTCCCCACGTCCTCTGGCTTCTCTTGCCTTGTGCTGTTGCCAATGGCCTAGCCTTGTTACTGTTTGTGTTTCTTTTGTACCTTTCTGTGGTTGAAATCTCTGTGGGCCTTTAAATCTGTCAGCAGCCGCTACCAGGCTCAGTATGCAATTTTAGCTCACTGTTTTCACAACTTTTTGGATGCAGAAAGTTTTCCAAATGAGCCATTGTAAGGCTGCCTTAAAGGGGCACTGTCCTTGTTTTGGGGAACAGCTTTATTTTAATACCAAGGAAGTCCTCACAGTGTCACTGAAATATTAGGTTTCTGGTCTGTTTTCAAGGGTCTGCTTTGTTGGACTCTTCTCCTAAAAAGAGCCTCAGCATCCTAATTTCAGTCGAGATGGTGGGAAATGGAACAATCCAGGAAGCAGTGGATTTTTCTGTAACAAGAATGCTATAGAAAGTGCAATGGTCTATATATACTGGCACACACTGCAGCATTCAACAAATGACATTTTAAAAAAACAACTCAATGAAATCCTCTATATAATTTGCCTGGAGTGCATCTGACTATATGTTTTTGTGAGAAACCTATTTGGGAGGAAATTGGGAAATTGAAGGGTGGGTCTATGCCACTTCTGCTTTAAAAAAAGTTTTTATGAAATGCCCTTGTTGAACCTTTATGCAAACCTCTACACAGGATAGCCATTGGCACAGTTCATATAATGCACACAGTTCTTTTATTTTTCTCTAGTTGAACGCCCAGTGATTGAAAGGGAACTGTGAAACTGCCTACAGATTTTAGGTTGAGTTGCGCTCTATTGTTATTCTGAGTCACACTTTATTGTTCCTTCTTTTTATTATAAAACGACAAGGCTATGTGTGAGTTAATGGGGAATATTTGAATGGAGAGAACAAAATCCATTAGGGCTTACAGTATATGCCTTAGCCAAAACTCTATTAGTTATGCCCACCAGCATAATACAGTCGGTATAATTCTTTTACACACCATTGCATGACTCTGAACATGCCAGCAAATGCCTACCCTGATTTCTTTACTTGCAGCAATTCACTGCTTGAGATTTACAGTATGTCAATTGTTTAATGCTGGCATAAATGTGTAATAGGATTTTAACCATTGACTCTTTCTGTATCAGTTGTCTCAGAGAAAAATATGATGTTTGGATAAGTTCTGTTCCAAATGGCAGGAGTGATATGACATCTGCAACACTAAGCAAATTTGCCTCTTGACCTGGCTCTCTGCATTGGCAATTCTGTGGAGATACTAACATCTGCCTTTCTTTCTTGCTTAGGCTAGAAAGAAATGCAGATGTTATCTTCTTAGGGTAAAGATATGTGCTCAGAAATCATAGAGTAAAACAAAAGCACCAGTTGAAATCTAGGTATATCATTCTGAAATACTAAATCTGAAAATTTGAATATTTTGAACCTAGGCTGATATACACATTAGTAACTAATGACTCTTCCAGAGACGACCTGTGTTTTTTTAGATGTATTTCCCGTGTATAAGACTATACTTTTGTCTAAAAAATTTTAACTAAAAATTGAGGGTCTTATACACAGAAGTAAGCTGAGGAGAGTACAAAAACAAGTGGAGGGAAAAGCAGGGATCAAATTGTTCTTGCAGGGCTTTGATCCCTGCTTTCCCCTCCACTTGTTAATCATTAGCAAAAGGAAAGCAGGGATCAAAGCGCTGCAGGATTGCTTTGATCTCTGCTTGCTGAGTCCCATGGGGCTTAACAAAAGGAGGGGGGAAAGAATCAAAGCAATCCTGTAGCTGTAGAAGGGGCAAAGGGATCAAAATTATCGTGCAGGTGCAGGATTGCTTTGACCCCTTTCCCCCTCCTTTTGCTAAGCCCTGTGAGGCTTAGCACGAAGGGAGAAAGCATGGATCAAAGCAATCCTGCAGCACTTTGATCCCTTTCCCCCTACACTTGCTAAGCCCCACTTAGATTTCTTAATTTTGGGTTAGAAAAGTGGGGGGGCATCTTATACATGGGGGCATCTTATACACGGAAAACATGGTACTTAGTTCAGCACTGATATTATTGGTATTTTTCCTGCCATCTTTGTGATGTTCCTCTTGTCTCACTAAGAACCATGGCTTGTTCTGTGACTTTCTGTACCCTTTTGTCCCTTCTTAAAGCATGGCTTATTTTTAGTTTAGGTTTGTTGCAGATGGGATTTAGTGCACTGGCACTTACCATTTGAAGTCTGGTGAGAGCATCTCAGGTGGAAATTTTCATCTGGCACTCAAACAAACAAATAAATGTTCCAGGAGAGAAGCTACAATTGGGAAGAGGGATTCTTAAAAAATATTTCTTTAAATTCCTTTAAAGATATTTCTGAAAAGAAGTAGTAGAAAAGAAGTAGGAAAGCTTGGGCACAGATCTCACTTAACCAGGGTGGACTTTATTTATTTATTTTTATCAGATTTTGTTTTGACAATTGAAATTACAATATATAGATTTTTTATTTAAATCATGATTTAAATCAATTTGATTTTTTAAAATATTTGATTTTTCCTACCTTGCATTTAAATTTATGCTTCATCATGATTACAAGAAAGAAGGTGGAAATTTTGCTCTTTGATAAGGCACTTAACTGATTTATTGACCAGGTCATATATGTACACTCTCCCAGAACATTTTTAGAGGTCTGCAGGAGCCTTTCTCTTAGACTAGGAATGAAAGACTAGTCTTTCTTTTTGACTTAGATAATTCACATTTGGATTTCAAATGTCATATCCTTTTGCCTGTGTCCATGATGACTGTGAGAGACATACTTACACTTTTTCCCCTACACAAAAAGAGGAGACAGGGGAGAGGGTCTGTAGGCTGAACTTCTCAGAAGAGGACAATTTTTAGGATTTTCACTGAATTTGTTGGGAACATTGCAAAGACAAAGCTTTTGAGATTTTAAAAAGCCCTCACTTTATTTAATGGGATGTGTACGGATAAAGAAAACTCTGAAAATCCTCTATAAGAATTGTTATTTCCAGTGTTTATATATATAGATATAGATAGATATAGATATAGATATCTGATATATCTATCTATATAAATATATAGATATATAGATATGTATGTATGTATGTATGTATGTATGTATGTATGTATGTATGTATGTATGTATGTATGTATGTATATGTATGTCTTATCTATTTTTATGTATGTATATACATATGAACTTGTATATTTTATTTATCTGTTTATTTCTCACTGTCATCTCCAGGATGAACTGGATCTCACAGATAAGAACAGAGAGGCAATGTTTGCACTCCCCCCAGAGAAGAAATGGCAGATTTACTGTAGCAAGAAGAAGGTACTGTATTTTGTTTAAAGGAATTAAATAATAAATTCTGTATATAGGTGTGATTTGCAAAATCAACCATGTGATCTGAGCACTAGAAGAACTCCCCCCCCCGCATTTTAATTCCATAGTCAAAAGGGTAGGCGTTGGCTCACATGACCTTTCTTACTGGTCATCTAATGGAAAGGACAGACACATGTGTTCCCAGCTCCTCATTTGTTTCTCATGGTTTAAACACACCCAACCACAACCACAACATTTAAGCCTTCTTGGCAGTCCATCAAAAAGAAGGTGTTTATGGGCTTCCTGCCCCTGCTTTTCACCAGTTCCAGCTTCTTTGGCTTCCTTGGCCTACACTGCTATTGTATTTCAGAATTCCTAGCCAAGCTGTCATCAGAGGGCAGACTTCCCCAACGTGGTGTGCTCCAGGTGGTTTTGACTATGACTTCTGTCATCCTCAGTCAACATGATTACTGGTTGAGGGTGATGGGAGCTGTGGCACCTCAGAGTGATCCTTTTTTCCCCTCCTCTGTCAGTAGTTTAAGGTTACAGGCCCCTGTTATTCCAGTTGTTCATGGATACTAATATAAATTTGCCTGTTAAAAATCTCTTTCTATTGTTCTGGTCTCTGAAAATTCCAAGGACATCTATGATTTAGGACCCATACTGAATTCCCTATAGATCAGTGGTTCCCAACTTTGGTCCTCCAGATGTTCTTAGACTACAACTCCCAGAAGCCTTTATTACCACCTCTGCTCGCTAGGATTTCTGAGGTTCAAAGTCCAAGAACATCTGGAGGCCCAAGGTTGGGGACCACTGCTATAGATGACACCTTTATAACACTATCTGTAACAATCATCAGTACAGTGGAACCTCTACTTATGAACTTAATCTGTCCCAGAATACATTCATTAGTTGAAACGTTCATAAGTAGAAGCAAATTTTCCCATAGGAATGCATTGAAAACCATTTAATCTGTTCCAGCTGTTTTTCGTTCTTATCTATGGCGCTGTTCGGAAGTAGAGGCAGTAGTTCCCATAGGAACTAATGCAAAGCTGGTTACTCCATACTCTGCCACTAGGGGGAAATTTCTTCTTCTTCTTTTGACTTAAGATGAACTTAGGTCAAAAAAAGGGCAGGAAAAGAGGGAGGGGGGGAACACCTTTTAAACAGAACACCTTGAAATACAAGCAGCTTTTAAACAAAACCAAGCCAAGCCAAGCACCTTCTAGGTAAAAAAAGGACAGGAAAGGAGGGAGGGAACAGCTTCTAAACTGAACACCTTGAAAAGCACCTTTTAAGCCAACCCAAGCCAAGCCAACCCAAGCCAAGCCAACCCAAGGGGCAGGGAAGGCGGAAGGGAAGGAGAAAACAATG